GTGAAAAGTTTACGACAACGACGACAACGACAACGCCGACAACGACAGACAACGGACAAATTGTTATCAGAAAAGCTCACTTGAGCCTTTGGCTCAGGTGAACTAAAAACTTATTGCAGGATTATTTTTAAGCATTTGGATATCTTACACGGCGAAACTCAAAAAGGAAAACACGGAGGTGACAAACTGTAATCTGGATTTTTTTTCAACGAGGGAAGTTCGTTTATGAAAATGGTGTCGTCATTCAGCCTTCAATGTCTTATTAATTCAAATTCGGATTATATAATAAAACAATTATGGACTCTTTTGGTGTTGAATATGGTTTGTTATTCACCAGAAGAATTCGGTGAATATTTTATATATATTAATATTTTTCTGGTGAATAACTAACCATATTCAACACCAAAAGAGTCCATAATTGCATAATATTTCTCAGGAGTAACTTCCTTTTTCTTCAATTGACATAAAAGACAAATTCACATTTAAAAAAAAAAATGGCAAATGAACTATATTTTTTAGTCAATTTTCCACATTTTTTGTAAATATTTTTAGATTTCTTTGTCACAATGTTTTCAATCTTTGATAATGATGAAGAACATACCCAAATGATTACAAAAAGTGATTAAGATTTATGCCTTTTGCCTCCAACTTATGAGAGGAGGTTATTTACCGTTGCTAATATTCTTGACCTTTTTGCACTAATACATGTACAGGGATTTAATTATTAAATGGTAGTTTTGAATTACATTATTTTGTACTTTCTGATCTAAAACGTTAATCAAAAATTGTACTTTTCATTTAAAAGATCATATTTAATAGAAAAATTGCAATCAAACACTAAGAATATAAATAAGTAAAAAATAATTATGAAAAAGAATGCATGATAGATACATGTATCACAAAATGTACACATGATCACACGATCTACAACACGTACATCTTTGACTTAGACACATTTCATCTAGATATTTCACATTTTAGTTGTCAACTGAAGATTTCTTGGGATTTTTGCATTCCTTCAAAATAGTTATATGTCATCCACATTATTACAGTAAGTTTTATGTATTGTAATTTCATTACAAAAGATAGTCTTGCATTTGTCAACTTAATAAAGGTCAAGATCTAGTAAATGAAATGTGCCGACAAGTTTCTCTAATTCAAGAAAACATATTGTCATTTAAAAGAATTTTAACCAAAAAATATTTAAATTGAAGTAAAATGATTTTGGTATGATTTTAAATTGAATTCTGTGAATTTCAAAATGCAGTATTTTCTACAATTTCTAATGAAGATGGTAAATGTGACATTGAATTAATTATGACGTCATAATGGATCAGTATATATTCTTTATATACCATATTGTGGTATATTACCTTAGATTTATTAAATTCAGAAAATAATCTCTAATATATAGTGCTCTGAAAAAATCCCGGAAATTTAAAATAATTACGATGACAACTTCGACTGTCAAAGTAAAATGTTAAAAATTATATATACAGAATGCTAGTTTATAAAAACAATGTTGAAATCAAACCAAAATAGAGGAAAGTTTCTCAATTTCCTTGAAGTTTCTGTTTTTAGTATATATGGATTTGTGCAAATCAAGTATTCCTGTAAATTACGCTGTATTACTGTCTTCTATTTAATGTTGATGTTTGTAGAAGGTTTTAAAAAAAAGAAGTAAGCAAGCAACTAAGATATATTATTCCTGTCTAAATAGCTTAAGTAAGTCGAGTCTAATTATTTCTGCCTTAGTGATTTTGATAATTTTTGATAATTAATTTTTACTGTTTTATTTATTGTTTCATGATTAAAATATCGAATGATTACCATCACGATTTTTAAGGGGGCATATCAAATGTTGTCAGGTTTTACTATTGAACCCTCAGGGAATTTGTTTGATTGATTGATTGATTGATTGTATATTGTTTTACGTCCCTCTTGAGAATTTTTCACTCATATGGAGACGTCACCGTATGCCGGTGAAGGGCTTCAAATTTAGACCTATACTCGGCACTCAGGGCCATTGAGCAGTGAGGGTTCTTTATCGTGCCAGCGCCTACCGTGACACGGGACCTACGTTTTTAAGGTCATATCCGAAAGACCCGTGACTTTCACTTCTAGTGCCGAGCGCTTGGCGAAGGAACAGTCACTACCTTTGTTTACGTCTTAGGTATGACGCGGCGCCGCGAACGAGAATCGAACCCGGGCCTTCCGATCACGAAGCGAACACTCTACCACTAGGCTACCGTGACCGGTAGAATTAGTTTGAAAGCGCCAAATTATCATATTTCCCTATATTTGTTTTGTTTTTCCCCTAGAGATTTCTTTTTCATTCAAGTAGACGAAAGTTATTGTAATAAGTCTCAAAACTGCGAAATTTAAAGAAAGTCCACCATCTAGGTTGGTCTAGGAAATAATTTTCAAAGCCAAATACCTCTAAAATTGCCATATTACGGTAATAAATACATAACAATGCAGATGAATTATCGGTTAAAAATAGCAATGTTTAGATTGCTAGTATGTTTCTATGGGTGTTCTGTCATGATTTTTGTTTAATATCCATGGACGTCTTAAACATACAAGCGAGTCATGCGCTATTTTTCAGCTCAAAAAATCCAAAAATGGTGACGTCGTTAGCGCCATTTCAACACTTTTTCTTAATTGTTGCCATAAAATCACATTTTCAAACCAGTAGGGGTTACAGATTATGTTAATTTTGTAATAAATTCAAAATATTTGGCAAAATTGTACTGTCAAACAAATTACTGCATGAAATTTAAAAGCTGTGTGATGCGCACTCCACGTAGACTTGGCTTCATTAAACTTCGTGACGTCATAAAAGCCAAAAATCACTTGCTTGAACCGGTTTGAAAGATTCCTTCTTTACATATGAGATAATGACATTTTAAACTGAAAGTTGCATATATTCGATAAGACAAAACCCATAGTTATAAAGTATATTAATTTATATTCCCTGATATAATCTATGCAAGCGCAAACAGTTCATAACACTACATACTCATTGTACATGTATTTGAGGCCGTATTCACCGGAGGGTCAGTGCGTGCAGCGGCATTGTGACGTCACAATCAAACCTCTAACAACGTTGTAAAGAATGGTTGCAATGACTGAAATGACCTACGTATTTGAGCAGGAGAAATATTATACAAACCTATTGCAGGATAATATTTACTCATTTGGACCTTTTACGTGAAGCGAATTTCGTAAATGAAATTGTTGTCCTAATTCAATCTTCAATGTCTTATTTATTCAAATTAGGACTATATAATAAATGATTATGAACACTTTTGGTGTTAACACTAAAAGTGTCCATAATTGTATATTATTATACGTTTTGTTGAAAAACACAATCATGAATATTTTACCTGGATTCATTTACATTGATAGGCAGCTTTTAGTTAGTTTATTTAACAAGGTAAATTCCCGGACAACACATGGCAGTCTGTTTATCTCAACATTTTTATTGACATTTGACATTAACTGCAGCTTTTTTTCACTTGAATTTGCGATAATATGTACACTGTACTTTTTTCTTTGTGTTTGTCTATTTTTCACATTTTATACCTGTTATTAGATTTAAATGTATCTTCCCATGGTGTCTTGAAACAATAAAGACATCGTTGTAAAACACATTTCTAACAATCATGTTTTTGTACAAAGAAATCACGTTCGGGGCGGGACAAATAGAGACAGAAGAGCGGCTTGTAGAACGTAGATTAGCGGAATCAAGAGCATATAAATATAAGGTATAACTTTTAGATTTTTTCATTTTATAACGATGATCAATCGATTGGCTTACGTGATAATTTTATGCATGCGTTTATGCAAACAAAAAGAACCGTTTAATCAATTCCATATCTTTAATGTTCAATAATTAATCATACAGAAAGATTTTAATGTATGAAAATGATAGTTCATAACAAGATTCACATTATTTATTGTTACATTTAAATTAATTACATTTTTTACCTTAATTGTTCATGACTTGAATACATACAATGTCAAAGTAAATTTAATCATTTGTATTACAACAATAAAAACAGTTTTGTTATCATATTTGTATAAAACTTAACAAGTGTTTTAAAATCTTTTCTTTAAGAAATACGTGTTATGGTCCTCGTGGCAAAATGGTGAAAGCGTCTGCTGAATTTAATTCCTGTTTATCCCTGCAGAATTTGGTGACGGTTCCTTTGGATGAGACTAAATAAAGCGGGATCCCGTGTCCCAGAAGATTTTGGCATAAAAAAGATCCCTAACTGTATGGACAGCCTTATCGGCTAGAGTTAGTGTCTCAATATTAAAAAAAACAAAATAGGGAGAGATGTAAAACAACAATCCCACATCTAGATAAATTCTACAGGGTTGTATTAAATAAGAAGAATAACACAAGTTCCTTTTCGGTTTTTTAAGCCACATATGGTACACACTTGCCAATAAGTTGTATTTTTAAAGCTTATTTTAAATGGGCATGGACAGATTTTTTAAAACCAGTTTTAATGTTTACAATTCTTAAATCATTTCAAAACTGCTGTTTACAAAAACACAAATATTTTTGTAGCTTAGTTATATCTTTCTGAATGCTTTTTCGAAATTCTGGTAGTCGGCCAGCGTAAATAAATACGTTTACAGCCGAGTTCATATACAGAAGAATTCGACAAGTAGCTCTGAAATAGAAAAAAATAAGCATTTTTAAAACGTTTAATAATATGTTTACTAGTACTTATCATTTTTAACATGTAAAATAAGAATTGTTTAGTTTAAAAGTGATTCGATTCTTCATACAATATGTATTGCAGGGCTTATATAGATCTTGAAAAAAAGTCGTGTTTGTGTTACTAATATATATTTATATATTTTATGTAAATAGGTCATATCAGGGATTATCAAAACTACATCCTTCTTGTCTTCTTGTCTTAGAATAATTGAAAAACAATCATAGGATTTTATGAAGTAATAACTAATTTTTACGTTGTGGGTTCGAATAAACTGCCTGAAGAACGGACCTGTATAAACCAAGGTCCAGAGCAGCAGTAAATGCTGGTACAATGTCCAAAAAGAATCTCACTTCTCAAAGACCCGATCAATGCCGAGTCGACAGCTAATTTTGCCGTCCTTTACCGGCAATCTGAGATCAATATGAAGGAAAAATTCTTGGAGGCATGTTTATCAGATAATAAAAGAACAACAGTAACTTGTGTGATTGTTCTTTTCTTTATCGTGATGTTTCATGATGTATTGTTTTAGTTTTGTCTTTTTTTTACCAGAGAATTTAATTAGTGGTTAAAAATAAATAACATTTTTATCTAACCAAGTATAAACCTGATAATTTTTTGACAGAAAAATAGGTTCTTCAAACAAGGGAAATACCTACCTAATAAATGGAGATTGGAAGCAGTTTTCTACACAAGTTATCTTATAGAAAAAAAGATATATTATCATCGGCGTCCATACAATTATGTAGAAGCCCAACAAAACAGACACCATTACTGTAGATTTCAGTTCTTGTCGGCGAATGAAATTAAATGCATGACTTTTATTTCTCAGCACTCGTTCTTGAAGAGCTATAGCTTTTGCCTTAAATAAAAGTACAATTAAAAACTTTCAATGTATATGGCATAGATGTACTGACAATACATTTCTTTAAAAAAAATTACCGAAGTCTATTTTGTCATAATTTCTAAGTCTTAGTTAACAACAACAAGGACAGATGATGCAAACAAAGTTTTGTCAGCAAAATTAAAAGTGATAATTTGAGTGATGCTTATATATACGATTACCAAGTAATTATCAATGTTTAATTCAAAGTTTCACAATAAAGAAAGATGAAGACAAAATTTATAATACAGACTATGTTTTTGAAAGCAGTGCATTCTCAACATATGCATTTGTGTCAATATTCATAATGGTACAGGAAGTTTTATTCAAAGCTAGTCTTACCTGATGTCTTGCAATTCTGACGATTCTAGCATATAGAGATAGCATGATTAGGAGAGGTAGAAAATACTGGATTATGAGGAGTATAATTAAATGTGTTATAGAGAAGATCAGCTCATAGCGGCAAACACCGATGTATTTCTCTGAAGAGAAAAAAAAACATGTTCACGAAGCATATAATACATGTACTTTCATTATAATTATATTTATTTATAAGCATAGAATCTCTTCCATAATGTATATATAAAGATAATTAGGTATGTCTTACATTTTTATTTTCTAATGATACGTTTTAACTGACTAAGAATTATATTCAATGGATTAACCTTTTTACAGAAAACGGTACATGTATGGTACTTACCTGGGTTGTAGAGAGTATACATAAAAATGCACGTACAATGGGATAGGACCCAGATACTAAAAATGGTGTACTTTGTGGATTTGGTTGTGAAGTAGAGATGATACCGTAACGGGTACAAAATGGCGACATACCGAGTAACCGTGATGGCTACTAAATGATAAGAACAGCTAGTACTCAAGGCAAGCACTTCACTCACCAAGAAACGACAAACGCCCCACTGACCTAAAAAGAATGTAGATTCGCTTAAAAATATTTTTAAAACCTTTTTCTTTTGTATTCTTTGCTCTATTCAATGCTTATTTTTTTTTATTTATTAATCATGGTACACTAATCCACTAATCCACTAATAATTGACATTGTCTACATTAATGACTAATTTTAGCACTTTTTTAACAAAATCCATTTCAAAAAGGACCATAATGGTGCTACAATATTGTTTGCTTGTCAGCCTTGAAAAAAAGAACATGCATTAATCTTTTGTTTTAATTTGAGCAAATCTGTAGTTGAGGAATAAACAGTGACAAATTTTAGTGGCGAAACTTTGCATGTTTCTGTATTCCATTGTTAATTCTTTGAATTAACAATATGATTAAATGACAATATTTTTATTAAATTAATTTATTTACATATTTCATATGATCAGAGCATCGGATTTTGTGTGTCTCTGATTTCTCTTCATGTTTCATTAGACAAATTATATCATCATCAGAATTCCTTGAAGTAGGAATCAGTTGATATCATATGACTGAATTGTTTAATCAAATTTAGAAATTATGAAGAGTTATGCTACGGAAACCATACAGTTCCAATTAAAGTTGGCATGGTCACTTGATACTCGAAAAGAAAATTATTATCCGATTCAATCAAAATTCATCAAAACGAGTTTAACATATTTCTATTCCAAATTAATTAAGAAAGGAAAAAAATTGTTGTAAAACAGACAGACAGAAAAACCTGCATATCAACACGAAAAAACATGCCCTCTCCTAGTTTCTAAAACAGAAAAAATAATGTAAAATTCATGTAATTACCTAAAGCACGACTGACTTCCGGCATGAGTTCTAGATGAGCAACATTGTATAAAGGATATATGACTCCAATAAGTAAATCTGTAACAGCCAAGCTCACAATGTAATGATTACATGGCGTGCGGAGGTTGGGAGTCCTCATTACAGCTCTGATAACTAGGGTATTCCCGGTTATGTTAATACACATTATTATACAAATCATCCCATAATAATAGATGTAAAAGGATATTCCATGATCTTCAGCAGTGTGTGGTTCTGTTAGATTCGTGTCTTTTAAAAACGTGGTGGTATTCGGGAAGACTTCATTGTTTGCGGCAGATGAAGGCATTTTACATTTTTATTCATTTACTTCCTGATTCATCTACTCTTCGCTATTTTTAATTTTTTAGTTGTTAAAGTCTCCAAGTACTAAAACTTGATATCAATATTGGTTGTGTACATTATTGTTTAAAAATGAACAAGGAAGCATTATGCAGATTCTTTTTAAAACATTTGAAGTGTGAAAATATATGAGTGCAAAAAAAAGCAGTTGCGAACCTAAAAAAATATCAAGATTATATATACAAAATACCTCTTTCTTTCCTTATTTTTTTTTATTTTTCGTAGAATCACATGGAGGAATTTTAATATGGACAAGTATTTGGAAAGGAAAATGTCTTCAATTTATTTTAAACTCAACCTCAAAGGCTGACAAATCCAACCCATGTTTTAAAAGTTAAACCACAAAAAACAATAATTTTATATATGAGACATTTGAAAACCTGAAAAGATGCATTAACATAACTTCATTTCTATTTTTTGTCAAAATATAGTACAAACTTTATTTGATATGACTTTTAGAGTTTATCAACATTTTGTGCACATTGTTTTGGCTATAATAGGATCCATCCCCATTCCACATATTGTTCTCCATATTGTCACCGGCTTAAAATAATACATGTAGTATTTGTTGCTGACGACATTACACTTACATATGCCATTGTTGTTTAAATTGTCCCCCTAAAGTTTGTAGTGCCATGTGTGTTCACATTTTTTCTCTCGTAGGTTTTTGTATAGAATACTTCTCATACGTTTTACAAAGCAGTCGATTCGTGAATATTTAATGATCCCTCCCACTTTTTTCACGACACAAAACCGCTTTGAGAAAATGTGTCAACTTATGTTTGATGCTTTTTCTAAATTCCTTTAAACGGAGTGCATAGATGAATATATTTATAGCTGAGTTGAGATACAACAAAATTCGGCAGCTTGCCCTGCAATAGGAAAAAAATCATGTATAAATAATCCTTTTAATTTAATTTTTTTAATAAATTTCACTGTTTTTTAAAATACCATCAGAGACACGGTTTTTGCAGTGGTAGGTGGAGGATGGGTAATAGTAGTGGTACATGTAGTACCGTATAAAAGGACTGAAGTAGCAATCCTGAACACACTGTATTCGGTAAAAGGAGTATGTCATAAAAGGCACCCAGGCAACTGTGTAGGACACTAATAGAATGGAGACCATAAATGTTGACTTCAATTCATGATTGTTGATGTGGAAACAACATGCCCTGTCTTTATGCCATGGAAGTCGTTTCAGAATTGCTATAGCCTTTGCCTAAAAGAAATTAATCATTATTAGAACATTTGATTAAAATATAAATTTCTCAATCCTAGCTATTACATGTAGAAGTAATCGAAAATTTTCACCAACAATTTTTTTGTTACAAATTTTATGTCCAACAAAAATAATGGGGGAATATTATAATTTGAAAAATTATAAACTTTTTTATGAATTATATACAATGTATAGATATAATAGTCGTTCAATATTTCATTTCTATATTCTTTGAGAAAAAAGTACTATTAATACCAATAAAAAAAAATGTAACAATACAAAAGTTATGGGCAACTTTCAGGCTATAAGCATTAGGTATGAATGCTATTTCGTAAAATTTCAACAACCCCGTGTTTTGGCAATATTCGAGATTCTAGCGTACATAGGAATCATTAATAGAAGTGGCAGAATCAGTTGAAAAATGAAGTAGACACACATATGAGCCAGGGAGAAGATGAGCTCGAACCGACACAAGGGCTCCTGTCTCAGAATGTATTCCTCTGTGGAGTATAAAATTCATTTTCTAACGGATGTATCCACTTCGGCAATATCAATGCATTTGACTTTTAATAATCTTAAGACAAAATATTGATAAAAACGAAGCTGCCATTCAATTTTTGCTGAAAATTTTATGGCAATTACATTAATTGGTTTAAATTTAGATTAAGTGCTGACCTGGGTTGTAGAGTGTAAACATTAGTACACAAACACCTTGCGACATAGACTTAATTGTATATATATATACTACTCAGAATATAACTGGCAATATTTTGTCCAAATGCAAAAAAAAAATGTCTTCAACAAACTTGCACGTGCATTTCATGTCATGGAAACTGTTTCTCGTCACATTTATACTTTTGCTACAATTGCACGATTTTCACTCAGGCAGCGTTGTGATTCTCTCTAAAATTTAAAAGAAGTGACCTGAGTGTTTACACTACGTTTATCAACACAATGGCCCCTCAAAGTGTAAGGCGTCGCCTGACGACAGAACAACTAGGTAGATTTATTGGAATGCTTGACGCTGGTTATTCACAACGTGATGTTGCAAATGCGCTAAACGTCAGCCAGAGCTTTGTAAACAGAGCCTGGAACCGACGGCAAACTTTTGGTACAGCAGCACACCGACATGGGGGTGGTCGTCAGAGATCAACAACTCAACGCCAAAACCATTTTGTGGCTCTTCAGGCACGACGCCACCCCTTCTGGGCAGCAACCAGCCTGCGTAACGACCTCCTGAACGCCTTGGGGGTAAATGTCGCGACTCAGACGAGACGTAATCGGCTTAACATTGTAGGTCTCAATTCGAGAAGGGCATGTGTTCGAATCCCTCTGACTGTGCGACACCGGTGGGAGAGATTGAACTGGGCTGAAGACCATGTCACTTGGACACAGAACGATTGGGTTCCAGTTCTGTTCACCGATGAGTCCAGGTATTGTTTGGACTTTACAGAAAGGAGGCAACGAGTGTGGCGACGACGACGTGAACGTTTTCATGATACCCACATCAGTGAACATGACCGTTATCAAGCCATCATTGATGCAAGGGGAGGCCATACTCGGTATTGACACTACATCGACTATTTGTGATGATGGACTTTCTCCAAAAACTGTGTAATTTTTTCTCTAGTTTTCTGTTAACTTTTTTGTATTGAAATGCCTATTGGTGTTGTTCTAAGATTTCAAGCATTCCTTATTGGTAAAAGTTCATGCTGTTCATAGATACCCATTCATAACCTGAGTAAACACATTTTTGAGTTAAATTTTTGTCTGTTGTTATGTTAGGGGTTAATTACATATATATAACCTAGTAATCCTTATCAAATTTTGAGTAGTATATATATATATATTAGCAAACGCTTTAAGTCATGGTATCAACAATAAATTTGCAAAATTTGACGAAAGGAAAATGCCAATAGTTGTCTCCTTTTAGAAATTATTCCTACGTGGAACTCATTTGTGTATTAAACGTATAAGGGAGACCTAAAACTAGGAATCCTATTCTGCTGATTCACGTTTATCACGATTTTTTGTTTTACTTTTACGACTTTATGTAGTTAAATATCAAAATATGAAATATATGTAGGTTACAGACTCATTGGTATCTTTTATTTCGATTCCAAAGGGAAATAAATCGACTCTCGTAGGAAATTGAATTTTGCTGATTGAATAAACATCGGCAATGTTTTAAAATACCGAACTGAAAGCTACCGAAAGAGATTAGTTCTTTTCATGTTAAAAATTTTATTAACATGGATTGGTATATAGTTTTTGTCTGATTTTGATTTGAGATGACATAATAATTAATCCCTAAAATATCAAGAAATCGTATGTTTTCTGTGGTGCTTAGATACGAGATTTTTTTTTTTTGCTTTCCATATACACGTTATTTAATAAAAAAAAAAGTTTGCACAATTTTTTGACTTTATTTAAAGATCCTTTAAACTTCCCCTACACTATACTTAGTAAACATTGTTCAGGTTATCTATTGAAAAATAAATCTATAATTCCTCTGAAATCCAACAATACGCAGTCGTATATTTCTAAGCAATACCAAAAAAGAGGCAAGTAAATGAAAAAAACCTCATTCGTCTGTCATTTAGGAAAACTTAAAAACAAGGCATTACATTTATTATCATAGAGTGATAATTTGATAGATAAAAAATGTTATCATTGATACATCAACATACTTTCACTTGATTACCGGTAACACAGCGACAGCTGTGATTAAGTCTGTTAATCTGTTCTACTGAGTCATGTTGACATCCATTTTCTTAATAAATGGCATAGTATTTGCTTTAAAAAAATTTTAAATTCCCTTTTTAAAAAATATATTCTCGCTCCATAATTAAGATACATGAATTGCATTCCTTCAGCCAAGTGGGTAATGTCTATACAGTAGACATAGCCTAAATACTTGAACAATTCCTTTCTAAAATTGATTATTATTTTAAATTATTGTTTTATATTTTTAAGTAAATTTTTGAATTATATCCAATAGAAAAGTAATTTTTTGTGTTTATTTTGCGTTTGTTTGCTGAATTTTTTATTCATGTTAAAATGACAACGTGCTAGACCTTTGATAAGTGAGGGACCAGTGCACCAGTGAAAATTTATGCTACTAGCTCTAGCGACATAATTCCCGGTTACTCCAGTTTAATTGATTGATTGTTTATTGTTTAACGTCCCACTCGAGAGCATTTCACTCATATGGAGACGTCACCGTATGCCGGTTAAGGGCTTCAAATTGAGGCCTATACTCGGCACTCAGGGTCATTCTTTAACGTATCAACGCCTACCGTGACTCGGGACCCACGTTTTATAGGTCATATCCGAAAGACCCGTGACTTTCACTTCTACTGCCGAGCGCTTGGCGAAGGAACAGTCACCACGTATGTTTACGTCTTAGGTTTGACGTGGCGCCGCGAAAGAGAATCGAACCCGGGCCTCCCGATCACAAAATACACCGGTCTGACAGCAACTTCTTGTCGTATATGGTGCTGCAGGAGAATTTGAAACCGGTCCTGTATGACCAAATACTTACTCTAGTTCAAACGCTCTGACCTCTGTAGCGGGCATGGAAAATTTAAAATCAGCTGTAACGTTAATGTTTCATTTCTACTTTTTGCGTTCTCTTTATAGAAACAAACAAAAATGCTTTTAAAGGAAATTATCAAGTTATTAAAAGTAGTCATACATACATGTACATGTAACATCAAGTCAAAGTGGGATTTATTGTTTTTGAAGCCATTTTTAATCTGTTTGGGAAATTAAGTGGTGGGTTCAAAATAAGGACACATGAATTTAAATTAATTATAATTTTTAACAAAACCGACTATCATTTTACTTACCTAATGGACGGCTGATTTCTGGTACCTGTTCCAGGTGCGAGATATTGTACACAGGATACACTAATCCAGTTAATAAGTCTGTAACCGACAAACTCGCTTTACAAAAATTACATGGCTTCTGTAGATTGGGAGTTTTAAAAACAGCTATAATGATCAGGATATTTCCTGGTATATTTATACAAGCAATAATAAAAACCGTCCCGAAATAATACACATAAAAGGTTGTTCCGGGACCAGAAGAACCAAGGATATCTTCCATGATAGATAAAATGGTAAGTGTTTGAATAAAAATACGTATCATTGACTGCAGCAGATGTTAGTAAGATTTTTTAAATGTCCTAGTTATGCATAATTATATTGATAATCGCATTAGTTTTATTTAAGATGCTTTATGAAGAAAAAAATAATAAAAAGTTATTTAACTGATTAATCATAAACACATTTTTTGGACTAATCTTATTGATAATTTCTTTCTGTTTTAACTTTGTGCTGTAAAATGTGATAAGCCCGTATAATATTCCAAAATTACCTTTTTACTTTTGGAATTTTCATTCGTGAAAAATGACCAAATTTATAGTTATAAAAGTAAAATTAACTAGTGCTAATTGTAACGGGAACCGTTACAGATGTTCCCCAAACGCTCCCCAAATCCCTTTTAATGCCATATTCCCTGTAACCTTCATTTAATAAGACAACATCTGTGCATTTTTTACTTTTACAACGTTTTCCCACAAGGATACCAATTATATTCAAATTTTAACATTGCACGCGTGCCCATGTGAATGCACGTGCGTAATGATCATATAATCTTGTTTACACTTTCTATATATTTAAATATACTTTACATAAAAGCATTTAGTCCAAAGTTATTTAAAAAATCACTCATTTAAGTGTATATTTAATTTCACTCATTCCAAATGCACGCACGTGCGTGTACGTGCATGATGACCATACCCTCTTGTAGGAGGCCCTTATATCTATCTATGTTCTAAATCCCATCCTGTTTGGTTGAAAACCAAGGGAATTATAGCCATTTCAAGTTTCGGCCAATCAAATTGCAGCACACGTGCATCCACGAGATTTCAAGAATCTTTTTCTAAATCATATTGTAGAATGTCCTAATGCATGACTATGTTTTAAATTTCAAAGCATTTCGTCAAAAAACAAAGGAGATATAGCCATTTAAAGTTTCAGCCAATCAGATTGCAGCACACGTGCATGCGCGTGATTTCTTGAATTTTTTTGTATATCATATTGCAGGATATCCTAATGCGTGACTATGTTTTAAATTTCCAAGCATATCCTCAAAAAACAAAGGCGATATAGCCATTTAAAGTTTCAGCCAACCAGATTGCATTGCACGTGCATGCGTGTGATTTCATGAAATTTTTTCCATATTATATTGTAGGATATCCTAATTCATGACAATGTTTAAAATTTCAAAGCATTTCGTCGAAAAACAAAAGAGATACTGAGATTTTTGTTTCAGCCAATCAGAGCAAAGCGCACGTGCATGCGCGTGCGTTCGTGCTAATTTGACAGTGTCATTATATGAACACTATTAATATATCCTCATGTAATGAGTTTCAAAGCATTTCATCAAAAAATGTAAAAGTTATAGCTATATTAAGTATATCAGTCAATTCACTCATTTCACGCGCACGCACGTGCAGGCGTATGCGCGCAAAATGACCTTCGTTCCGCACACCTACACTACACACCTATTAACCCTAAAAAGGTTTTAGCTCAGTTGGGTGATCAGTTTCTGAGAACACTCGCGGACAAAAAAGTACCGGAGAACAAATAAGAAAAAAAATAATAATAACTAGATACGATCTCGTTGCGAGCAACGAGAGGTCTTCCGTCCGTT